TCCATCCATCCATCCATCCATCCATCCATCATCCATCCATCCATGTTCCATCCAGCCAGCCAGCCATCCATCCATCCATGATCCATCCATCCATCCTTGGTCCATTCATTCATCCATCCATACATCCCTGTTCCATCCATCTCTGTTCCATCCATCCATCCATCCCTGTTCCAACCATCCATCCCTGTTCCATCCATCTATCCATCCCTGTTCCATCCATCCATCCACCCATCCACCCATCCACCCATCCACCTGTTAGATATTTATCTAGACTGGTCGTGGGGTTTTTGATCTGCTCAGGGACGGAATTATAATGAAATTATGACCCAGTTCTGACTTGGTTAAACTGGGCCAACAAAAAGAGTCTCCCTGGGATTCAATATCCGTCAAGGAATAGAGTTTATTTCTGCTTGCTACATCACATAGCAAAGTTTTTGAAGCACCATCTCATATTTCCTAACACGTCAGTCCATGTAAAATCCATTGAGATCACACGTAGTCACGCCCCCTCATACACGTGACAGGTTGAGCTCCCCTTCTGCGAAGGAGGAGTCTAGGACCCTATAAATGAGTAATGACACAGGACTTCTGGGCTCTTCTGGGTTTGTGATCACGCTACAATCCAGAGAGACCAGCGCTGTAAACTGTAACCTTTTCCTGCTGTGATTTTAATACAACTGGTAAAACTAAATTCACGTTTCCTTGATTTATTGTTAGTTTGAGTTGCCCCTTCTGAGGGAGATTCGAGTCGGGGGAAGCGACATGGGCTGAAGGCGGGTCATGGGTTCGAGAGGGGGCCCCTGGGTAACCGGAGGCCCGCAGCCAGCCCCTTGTCTTAATACATCCATCCATCCATCCATCCCTGTTTCCATTTGTATTGAAATAGACTTCCAAAACATTTTGAACTTCTGAGTCCTTCCATCTTACATTAACTAATTTCCATCTCTACAGTTTATCTGTGGTCAGGTCGCAGAAGCAACATGTACAGGAGAGAAACCTAGACATCCCTCCCCCCAGCGACACTTCCTAGCTCTAAGGCTGAGCCTGGCCACACTACGAACGAAGATCATTTCAGTTGCTTGAGTCTGGGATCTTTTTGTATTTGGTCATAATCTATACCTCATGACCATGGGTGAGGGAAGGGTTTGAGTACCCCTTTGATCCTAGGATGTTGTCTGGGGCATCAGCCTGCCTTAGGGAACAGGTCAGACTAGGAGCCACTTAAACATTTTTGATGCATAAACAACATATACTTTAGGAAACCTCACATGGAAATGGCAAGGCTCTGGAGCCAGGCCTGGTGGGGAGCTCGTGGTGGTTGAGCTTTAGCTCCTGGAGCTTGACTGGGCCAAGCTTGAAAGAGAGACAGGATGCCACTTCTAAGTGGGCCCACCAGTTGCGAGGAGGACCATCATGGTTGGGTGCGATGTAAGTCAGGCAGTAATCTAGGCAGGGTTCCTGGTTGTGCCTAATGGCATAAACTAACTCTAGGGACATTAACCCACAAAGGTTGTAAATGTATTTCATAACAAACATGTGAATGAAATCCTCATCCTTCCCTCTGCAGGAGCGTTTATTGCTGTCCTTACTGCCTGCTCACATAGCCAGAGTGATGAAAGCTGAGATCATCCAGAGGCTGCAGGGACCCAATTTTGGTCGAACCGAGAGTACCAACAACTTTCACAACCTCTATGTGCAGCGGCACACCAACGTCAGGTAAAGTTCCTTTTTCTATCTGTGCCTTCAGATAATGAAGGCTGTTATTTTCTGCTCTCATCTTCAGTCTTGATTGTGTTCTGCCATCTTGTCCTCCCCTTCATCACTGTTCTTTTTCTAATCTTTTGTCCTACCCTCTCTACCTGCTCTTAAATTTCAATTTTGCCTCCGTTTCAGCTTATTCCCCTTCATTTAATTGCTTCCTGCTCTCTTTTTTCCTCATGGTCTTCTCTCATGTTCTTACTCTATATCCTTTTTCATTGCCATTGTGAAAATCAATTGAGTTTTAACCCACCTCCATTTTCCTCTGAGGTCACTTTGCCAAATAAAAAGGAGCCTTTGTCATCAGTTTTCAGTGACATCCTCTGTCCTGTGGAGGTTTATAGAAGCAGTGCAAGCAACACAAATCCTGGCTCACCATGAGGGCCAGTGCATCCAGGGTCCCCCAGAAAACGTTAATTTTTCCAGAGCCTTCCATCAGAGACATCATGGCTGTCCACCACTGGCCCCATCTGCATGTGTGGATGAATGTGGAGTGTCCTCGTGTTGATACACCTTGTATTCTTCCGTTAATAGGAAATTCTCGCAAGGTCTGATTCACAATGAGGGGACAGAAGCCCAGTTTTTTCAAGACTCAGTACAGGAGTCCACGTGGTTTTATTGATGATTGTATGGTTGGCAGCGATGCCTCTAGTAGCTGGTCTCTGGTTGTTAGATGGTAATTACTGAGGCTGCAAACCATCCCAGTCTTCTCTTTGGAAAAGTTTTTCTTTATGGAAATGGATTACATTTCTTTGACACGGTGGCGCAGTTGGTAGAGCTGTTGCCTCTCAACGAGCAGGTCGCCAGTTCAAATCCCAGTCCGGGACCATCTTGGGTGGAGTTTGCATGTTCTCTCCGTGCATGCGTGGGTTTTCTTCGGGTACTCCGGTTTCCTCCCACAGACCAAAAACATGCATGTTAGACTGATTGGTAAATCTTAATTGTCCCAAGGTGTGAGTGAGAGAGTGAATGGTTGTTTGTCTCTTTGTGTCCCTGTGATGGACTGGAGACCTGTCCAGGGTGTCCCCCACCTCCTGCACAGTGATAGCTGAGCATGAGTACCAGTGACCCCCGCGACCTGAAAAGGAAGAAGTGCAGGCAAAGATAATGGATGGATTACATTGTTGTCATATTTAAAAAACCAAAACATACCATTTAAATTATTTCTCTTATAGTTATAAAATATGTAGTTTGTAATACTGCTCAGCTGTATTTCAGTACACACTGTAAAAAGTGTGTATTTTTTTTAATTCTTGAAAACTGAGTTAAAATTAAAAAAAATCTGCATTAGGTTTACAAACTTTATGTGAAAGCAGCATGATCAAACTGGAACTGTAAATAAACAAAACATCCTCATTGTAACAGTTTTTAACATAAAAAACGTAAAACCTTAACCATAACTGATTTTATTTTAATAAAATCAATCAACAGATGTAAGCTTGATCGTTCTGTATAATTGTAAAGTTAGCAAAAAATAATCATCAAAAGTAGAGCTATGCAATATCTTGAAGATTTATCATCATTCTGGGGTCAAAGTTGCCAAGGTGCATCTTATATTTCAGAGTATTAGGTTTGACAGTCACATAAACGCCATGTTGAGCCACAAGTTAAAATGAAAGACTTCTGATCTACGTTTGTATGTCGCCAACAATGTTCAGTCAGGTCATCTAGATGGTTTATTTTCATCCAAAGGACTTCATCAGTCTGAGGAGCCACAAACAAACTGAGTCCCACAAGTAGCACACTCCCATAGTGGAAACTAAACCACTAAAACCACTATAAAAAAACGTCCAGATGACCTGACTGAATGTTGGATTTGTACCTGGATTATTGAACGTGAACTTTGATGCTTTGTGTCATTACACAGCTTCAAGAGGAGATTAAATTTTGTTTTTCCATGGGTTACACATATTTACAGAAGACTAGATGAGTGATGTCATCATTTTTCCATCATACTGGATGTACTATGTTATTTATAACATATAGTCACTCAGCTGGGTGAAGCAGGGCACCTTCTCAAATGTTTCTCCAAAGAGTCTCTCGACACATCTTCTATGGTTCTGATAGATGACTATTTATGGAGTCAAGACAAAGCCAGGCTTGTTTGTGGCAGCACAATGAACTAGTGGTTAGCACCGCTGCCTCAAAGAACGAAGGTCCTGGGTTCGAGCCCAGGGTTGGCCTTGGGGTCTTTCTGTGCGGACTTTGCATCTTCTCCTCGTGTTTGCGTGGGTTTTCTCCGGTACTCCGGTTTCCTCCCACAGTCCAGAATCACACACATTTAGGCTGCCCACAGGCCCAGGCCTCCCTTGAAAAAGAGACCTCAGTGGGATTATGCTGGTTAAATAAAGGAAAAATAAATAAAATAGCATGCCTCTGTAACCATCTGGTCAAAGAAAACCCACACAGATGATCTGCGTTCATCAACCCCCAACCCAAAATAAATGTTAGCAAGCGCCGACTCTGACCCCTTTGATCAGTATCCACTATTGATCAAAACTCGACAAGTAATTTCTCCTGTGGTTGAACCAGTCACAGCTGGGAGGTCAGAGGTCTGCTTCCACCTGCCAGACTTGGACACGGAGTTAGTGCACGATCCTTGTAGGCTCTCTGGATGAAACAGGACTGAATCTGTACTCTGACCCAGTGAGGCCAGAATGTCTGGTTTTATCAACAGATTACCCAGAAGAGCACCCAGACCCCCCCCCCAAATTAATCCTTCCTGCAGATAAGCAAGAATCATGGGAAGGTCTCGGCGGGCCTTCTCCTTTCCCCCTCGGGGGGCCTGTAGCAGCAGGTGGGGGGTCACTCTCTGACCGTTTACTTCGCCCGAGCCCTGTACCATAGCAATTAATACCTTGAAGGAAGAAAAAAGTTAAATATAACTCACCAGTACTTGGGAATCACCAGGAGCTGCTGATCTAATTATTTTTGCATGTAGGCAAATATTTTATTAAAAGTATAAAAAATGTTATGTAGTTAAAAATCACATACAATGTAGGTTATAACAAAATTTTAAATCAAAAGAAAAACAATAAGTTACTCGGTTCATCTCTTCGTCCTCACAAGACTCCTCCACTCCTCTAACCAGGACTTAATTTGAGCCGGATCCTGCCGGAACAGGATCCGAGAACGCTCTTATTTTGACAGGGTGCGTTCCGGTAACTGTTTGCTTGGATTTGGAAACTCTCAGATTTACTAATAATAAAGTTATGAACAAATATGACTGCTTTGAACGAATAAAACTTATGTTGGATATTGAAACTGAAAATAATTACATAAACACTCATTTTAAACACAACAGCCGATTACAAGCATACGAGCTACCCCTTCAAGTAGCATTTCCATGTCCATCCTTAAAAAAATCCCAGCACACCTCACTGCCGGCTTGCCCGCTATTTGCATTCTGGCATTGATAGGTTTACAAATTAGGCCCTGTCTCTAACTAAACATTAAAAGACAAAAAGAAGAAACTTAACCAAGACAAATGTTGTTTCTCTAAACCCTCCCGTTGTCTCTGGGCCAAAATGACCCAAGGGCAACAGGAGGTAATGTACCCCCTAAAAGCAACGCTCCATGATCCTCAAAAAGTCCCCAGTAAACACCCCATCTCTTTTGTGCATAAGCTTCTACTATCATACTCACTTAGTCATTAATTTCACTTTGTTAGAGTTTTCTACCTGGATTATTGAGCATGCATCAGGATATCACATATTATGATTATACGTAAACACACAAAGTCATGGTGATTCTCTTTTCAGTCTCCATTTCTTCCAGTCCAACTTGTTATCTTCAATATGGTAAAATGATAAATGGACTGTACTTATATAGCTCCTTTCTATCTTATCAAGATACTCAAAGCTCTTTACAGTAGAATATGCGTCCTCATTCACCCATTCATATAGCTACTCTACTAGATCTCTACGAAGACTAATCAGAGCTTTATCACATTCATACACTGATGGGACACACATCAGAAGCAGTGAGGGGTTCAGTGTCTTGCTCAGGGACACTTCAACATATGACTACTGGTGGAATCAAACCCCCAACTCTCCCATTGGAGGACGACTGCCCTAACCACTCAGCCACAGCCGCCCCACAGTCTCCTCTCATTGGCTGAAACTGACAGCTTCCATTATTTACAGCTCCATTCCTTCCAGCTGCTTCAACTGTGTGAGAAAGGATCGGACAACGTCCGGTTAACACAGGTCGTCCTCCATAAGGATACACTGGGCCCATCTTGGTATGGGTCGGTGTCTGGTCTGGTCCAGTCCTGTGACCAGTTGGCCTGGGACTGACCTCTGATGCTGCTTGTTCTCATAAACAGTCTGTCAGTGATCAGTTCCTGGCTGGTAAACGTGATCAGATGAAGACTCATTTTTCCATCTCTCCATCAGAGAAGGCTGTTAAATAATAGGGTTGCTGTAATATGTGTTAAATTAAAAGTCGTATTGTTTAGCACAATGTTTTTTTCTCTCTGCAGCATTCTCTATGCAGACATCGTGGGCTTCACCAGGCTGGCCAGTGACTGCTCTCCAGGAGAACTCGTCCACATGCTGAATGAACTTTTTGGCAAATTCGACCAGATTGCAAAGGTACCTGAAGACAAGTCAAACCTTTCCATGACTGTATTACTGTTTAAAACACACCACAACCCATCACATTTTATTTGTTTGTCTCCTTTCCCGTCCAGTGATGTTTTTTTTTTTTTACTCTTTGCCAATCGATCAGTTTGTACTCAGATTATTTATTATACCATAATCCGACATGACGCACTGAATGAGAACTTCTTACATGCCGTATTGTTCAGGCTGCCTCTTTTTGTGTGTGGAAAAGTATGATAAAGTTTTCTCTGCACCACAATTAGACTTCTACTAGAATTATGATTTTGAGGGGAAAAGAGCACACAGTTATAAACGAAACGCATAATCCAACAGTTTTCAGTCAGGTCATCTGGACAGTTTCTTTTATTGTGTGCTGAAACATTTCACCTTCCATCCAGAAGGCTTCATCAGTCAAGGAAACACACAACACAAAACTGATTCTTCCCCCAAACAGCTTACTCCAAAGTGGAACAAACCAGTTATGTTGGTGCTAAGATGGTCTCTTTGGCACACCCCCTCCTCCAGTGCCGGCCCTCTCCCTCGTCGACAGTCATGTCAAACTGGTCCAAAACCCATAAACTTAACTCCTCCTCTTTTCTGAGTTTAAGGTCTTATAAACTTGAGCTCCAAGAGGTTCATCAGGTATTAATTGTGGGGAAAAAATACATAAATGACCGTTGTTACAGATTCTGTTCATAACTTTTATGGATAGAATTTCTCGGTGCAGCCAGGGGGTGGAAAGATTCTGGTTTGGTAGCCT